CACACACACACACACACACACACACACACACACACACACACACACACATTCATACAGCACTCTACTACATCTAAAATAATTACAATTGAACAAATCATTCTAAAGAGACTAATCAGTGATGTATCACATTTATACACTTATGGGACACACATCGGAGGCAATGAGGGTTTCAATGTCTTGCCCAGGGACACTTCAGCATCCACTGCATAGTGGTGGAATTGAACCCCCAACTCTCCCACTGGAGGGCGACTGCTCTAACCACTCAGCCACAGCTGCCCACAAATGTCTAATATAAAACCAAAAAGATAAGCAGCTGATAAATTTTGCATAGAGCTGTTTTATTATCGCCTGCTATTGAAAGCAAAGGTGGAGCAACGTTTTTGCTTGTGTCTTGCTTGTCTGTAGAGATAGCAAAATATCCTATGAGCCATTGAACAAATTTTAATCAATTTTTAAAAAGTTGTCATTGTGTTGACCTCTGCAACTGAATAACTTCTAAAGTTGACCTGATTCAAGATGAGCACCACGGCAAAGGGATCATTTTCAAACACAAAAACATGCAGTGACTCAAATCATTTTGCAGATGCTGAGATGAAATTTAGTGTGGTAGTAGCTGAGCATTGTTCCTCACATACTTTGAGCTCAACACATTGCACAACATATTTGCTTAAAATTTTGTCAGTATTTGTTAGCGTTCATCTTGTGTACACAATTTCGTTCCACCTCATGTACTGCATGTGATGCGAATGACAATAAACAAACTTGAACTTGGTTGTCTGTCAGCAAAATATCTCATAAAACACTGAACAGATTTCTATGAAACTCTCAAATCAGGATCTACAATTGATTAAGTTTTTGTGTGAACCTAACCCAAGGTGACTGCTACCGCTGACTGACATTAGCCTTCAAAAAATTGCTATAACTTGGTGAATTTTACAGACACTGAGCTAATTTTCGGTGTGGTAGTAGCTGAGAGTCTTTCACAATACACAATCCAAGTGCTAATAGGTCACAATAAATGTTGCGATATTCCCTGACGTAATGTTAGTTTCAAAGTCTGACCAAATCCTTGGAAAAAAATTTAAGAAAATTTAAACATTTTTATCACAAGTAGAAAAAAAAAAAAAAAAGTCCAAATAAAGGGTTTACAAAAAAAAATACATATATATATATATATATATATAAATACATACAGAGAAGCTGTAATATTTTGTTATAACATGAACATTTTAGCAGGTAGGATTTTCACACTGACCTGATGTGAGATAAGAGCTGATGGTGTCAAACACATCTTGCCTCTCAAAATCTGCTGCTGTGAAGTTGTATCGGTTAAGAACCAAAACACTGAAAAAACATTTGTTTTAGTTTGGGATGAATACACAGAAAATACCTTTTAAAGGAGAATAAAGTTACACCATGACATACAGTTTTTGGAAGGCCACACAGGAAGCGTTGTTCGTGGCGTCAGAGCTGAGCAGACTCTTCGTGAGGAAGACCAAGTAGTTTTGTAGGCTCTTGTCAAACCAAAAGTTGACCTCTGACCTGCTGGAGGTGCTGAGGGTCATGGGCCAGACGCAAGACAGAGTGGGTCGTCCAACCTCAGCTGGCAGAGACTCCTGCAGTAAATTTTCTGGTTACTGTGGTTAATATCGAAGCATGTTTTCATTTCTGAGGGTTCATGTTTGAGGTACGCACGGTCTCCAGAAACACTGGTGTCTGGTCGTAGCTTCTGTAAAGCTCGCACAGCTTAGCTTCGCTGTCAACAACGTTTGACCGGCGCAGGAAATCTCCAAGATGTGAAGGAGGTATGGAGTTAAGCAGCTAGAAAATCAGAAATCATAAAACTTGTCATTCTGCCTTTTGTTGTTCGTGTTTGTGCCTGACAGCCTTTAACTCAGCTCACCTGAGACTTTCTGTCCGGAGGCATGAGGGACAGGGAGGTCGTCAAGTTGGGGAACTGGAACCCCATGAATGAGCGCTCCATGAAAGCATAGAAGCTGAAGTTGTAGTTGTTTCCATAGCAACGGAGAGATGGTGGTCCTGTCAACGACAAGTATGTCTTTAAGGCCTTGTGATTCTTTACAGGCCATGAAAATGTTAGCAGCTCTGGCAAAAAATCAATAACATTAAATACAAGAAAAAATAACTATTATTTTAATTGGTTATACTGCAGGTACAGTCATGTAAAAAACAGAATATTTAATGTTTTCTCATTTTGTAACCTTGACCATTTTAGAGTCAGAAGAAGAATCAGAAGAAGCTTTATTATCATTGTACTGAAATAATGTTTGTACAGTCGTCCAAAAGATGGGCGGAGTGCACGTTGCTGCAGTTACAAAAGCACGGCCCATTATCCTTATTCAGAATACTTTTTTTGAGATAGAAAGGGGAAAAGGCCATGAGGATAGATAGTGGTATTACAAAAACGATCTCTTCATACCTTGTCCTATCAGGACACGGTTTAAGACATCAAAAAACTCTGCCAGCATTAATAAACACATCACATGTGCATTTGATGGAAAGATGGTGAGATTTGTCAATGAAGCACTTCCAGATAGTCCATAGTCCTGATAAGATCTTGGTGTCAGCTGGTACAGCTCTGTTAAGCTTTCACAGAAGTTTGCAGGGAAGTGTGTGTGGGGGCGTGATAGACAAAGCTTTTCCTTAGTTTAAACATATCCCAGGAGAAATTTGATAAGTTGGTCTGCTTCAAGGCCAACCGGGGGATTCAGATTCAGATGTCACAATTGTTGATTTTTTTCAGGCAGACTGTTTTTTTTTTCTTGTCAGCTTTGAGTCCTGCTGGTACTTTTGATCCCAAAATAGCCATATTTGTGGGCATTCCACTGGTCCGTTCTTATGAGCCCCCTCCAAGGTCGACTCCAACATGCTGGTGAGTCCCAGAAGCAGCAGGTGGCCTACGATTCTCACAAATCGCTTCCATCTTACGGTTTAGCTCGTAAAGCAGCTGATTTTGAGTGCTCGGAGCGTGAACCAAACCTTTACAAGGTAGTCAGCCTGACAAGGGCCAAATTTGCTGCCGACAACTTCCTTGTTTGTTGATAAACCAGGAACCAGCCAAATCCAAAAAAAGCAGGAAACCAGTTATCATAAATCCAATTATATATGCGTCCTTACGAAAAGATTTTATCGATTGCGTTGAAAGTCCAGCTGACCAGATCCATGATAGTAATTTTAGTTTTGGAAGATGTGTAAAATAGGAGCTCTGATACACAGACAGAGAGCAAAAAAAGCAGGGGGAGGACAGAACGAGAGGAGGAGGAAAAAGCGTCCGCCTTGTACGAGAGCGAGCGAGAAAAGAGCTTCAGAACAGACGATTTGTCAAGTCACAAATAAAACATCAGAGAGCACCAAGAGAGGTGATAATGATGACTTTCAGGTGAAATACTGCTAGTTATTTGTTTATGATCAGATCGAACATCGAGGACAAAAGAATGAAAAAACAGTACTCAACAGTTTTGCAGCAGACTGGCTAAACTGACCAATCTCTTTTCTGTTTATCTGCGAGGAGTCTGAAGGCAGTTTCAGAGGATCCATATAAAATCTCACAGTCTGTAAACACGTGCTTTGGTAAAGAAACGGTGCTGCGTCCGCTCTAGAGGCCCCACATGTGGCAGTTTCATTAAAAACTAATGTAAGCAGCCACAAGTACACATTTTTCTTTCAGCTGTTCCTTTTTCAGGGGTTGTCACAGTGTATTGTTGAGAGGATCTGCGTTTTTTTTTTTGTTTTCTTGTGTCATCTATTCAGTTTTTTCTTCAAGTTGTCAGCCCCTGCTGCACCTGTTCCTCATTGTCCTTCCCCAGATGTTCATCACTATGGTGTCCTTGTTCTGCATCTTTGTATTCCCTTGTGGTCCGTGGATTGTGCGCTCCATCTGTCATGTTCTGTCTGCTTCTGTGTATCCTTGCTCCTGTGATCGTATGTTTTTGCCGCCACGTCAGCTTTTTTGTTTCTTTAAATATCCCTGAGTTCCCCGAGTCCTGTCTGCATTTGGGTTCAACACAAAACGCAGACCATGATAATTGTCCTTCACCTCACTCTGTCCTCAATGTCTTCTGTACCCACTTCATCTACATGTCCTCTCTAACTGCATCCATATGTCTCCTCTGTGTCTTTTTCCGGGCAGCTGCATTTCTAACATCCTTCTACCAATATACCCACTGTCCATCCGCTAGACATGTCCAAATGGCACATTTCTCACTGAGAAACATTACAGTAAAGTTGTGCCATGGGCTACACAATAATGATTTCTTGTTCATATGCTTCAACCAACATTTTCTTCTATTTTGTTTATTTTATGTTTTTTTCCAACATCTGTTTCCTGTCTACTTAACACGTGTTTATTCTTGGTCCAAAGAATAAAAGGGACTAAAAGATAGTACAAGTGAAATGAGGGAAACACAAAGTATTCATTTAAGAATTTAGTTATTTTAAGTATGTTTTTTTTTTTTTTTTTGCACAACTGGCTTAACTCTCCATCCATCGCCCCCAAAAACCTTCAGTATTTTAAAACCCTGTGTTCAGCACAGTGTCTTTACCTTTCAGAGCCTGGATGATGTGATTGTAAATTTCTTGCTGTGAATTTTCACTCAGAGTAGAAAGGGTTGAATTAAGGTTCTCCACACTGAAAAAGACAACAACAAAAAAAAAAGGGTCCAGATTTAAACTCAGGCATGACATACTAATTATTTTTACTCGTTTGTCTATTGCTTTCCACTCACCCCTGCTGCTCGATGCTGCAGTTCCTTCCTGCCAGTATTTGAAAGTACTGCGTGACGTGCCCGGGTGACAGGTTGATGAGAAGAGGAGGCAGTCGATACCGGAGCCACAACGACACCGCCGAGTCATCCACCCAGGAATAGGAGAGGTTTGCACGAGCAAACACAACCTCCAAAAAGGCAGATCTCACTGTCGAAGGCAACATGTTCTCATGACCCTATGGTGGGGAAAAGGAACAAAATACAACCTCCATGAAGCACAGTCTCAACAAAAAGTAATGACAAAAACATAATTCAATAGTTGTTTGTCAGCCGTGGTAATTCATGAACACGGCATGCATTACAACATTTAGATATACAGTTTTTAATTCAATTCAAAAATACTTTATTAATCCAAAAGGGAAATTATTTGTTGTTGTAACTCGTTATCTTCATTTCATTAAGAGATGTTATAGATACTGATATTTATTACGTGATGTTATTATTTATTTATACAAGCATAGTAAAAAGAAAATCCACCCTGTTTCAGTTCTAGGGTTATACATATCAGAACATCATAAATATGATGTGACGCAAAGTTGATACAAACACACAGCAGAGTTCATCGATTCATTAGTTGTCAAACAAAAACTAAACCAAAATGAGCTGTGTATAAAAAAAGAAAAAAAAAAAACATTGACACTTCCACACAGGGATGTAGGAGGTGAAGTAGCAGCCAGGTGCTGCTGATCAGATGCTTTACCTGATCGTCATCAGTGGGATCACCTGTATAAAAGCAGTTTGGACAGTTTGCTGCTCAGGAGTGTGCAGGTGTGTGTTAGCACAATACCAAAGTGGAAGGACATCAGCAGTTACCTTAGAGAAGAAACTGTTGCTGCCCATCAAGTTCAAAATCTTTTCCAAACTATTTAAAGTCCACCAGTCTACTTTGACAAATTATTCACAATATTTAAAGACATTTCCCAATCGTTCCAGGAGTGGGCGTTCCAGAAAATTCATCCTAAGGTCAGACTGTGTAATGACCAGAGAAACTGTGAAAATAACAACAACAAAACAAGTGTGATGTTTCTACCTTCATGTCATGTTTTTTGCTCTCCACTCCCACTCTGCACTGCAGCTCCACAGACTAATTCACTGCACCTGTTCTGATCTATATTTAAGGACTCCACTCACCTCTGCCAGATTATCAAACCCTTCATGGTCTCTGAGATCCAGCCATCTTGTTCTTGTTCACGTCTGACGTTCATGCCTTGTACTTTGGATTTTCGACTTCACTCTTGTCTTGTGGATTTACCATTTTTCCTGCTCCTAGTCTGGTTCTGCTCTGCCCTTCTAATCACAGTAACTGTGATTAGAAGGGCAGAGCAGAACCTCTTCTGGCTCTATAACCACGACACACGGATCCTCTTTTTTGGATTATTACTGGAACTCTGACTACCATTGCATGACCCCCACTTTGTTTCTCGGACCTCGTTACTGGATTTGCCCTACAAACAACATTATCACAGCACTCCTCCGCAGCTGTCCTGCTTCTAGTTTATGTGACGTCATCTCTCTAAACTCTGTTAGGTGGCTCGCACCCCACCTGCCTGTGAAGACCTTCTACCGCAACTGGACCCTGATTGTCCCCAGCAGCTGCAAATCAACTAACAAAACTGTTTTCTTTGCTTTACCATTCTTGTCTGGCTGAGTTTTGAATCCTAAAACCCTGGTTTCTTGACACCAGGAGCTTCATCGCAGACTCTACGAGTTCGCAGGTTAAAGGTTAAAGTTCGTGGCAGGACAATTTAGCATTGTTTGGAAGAGTTGCCGAGAAAAAGACTCTTGGCTCTGAAACTGAACAAGTCAGCACAGCTCAGGTTTGTAAAGTTTCATCTGATTGAACCACAAGACTTCAGGAACAATGTCTTTTTGACAGATGAGACCAAAGTAGAGTTCTGACTATAACTCACAATGCTATGTTTGGAGAAAACCAAACAGCATATCTAAACTAACACCTCATACCAACTGCTAAGCATGGTGGTGGAGGACTGATGGTTTGGACAGTTCGAGTCACTGACTTGATCATAAACTCTGCTGCAGACCAAAGTATTCTAGAGTCAAATGTGAGGCCATCTCTCCAAGAGCTGAAGATTGGACTAAACTAGGTCATGATGGAATGGGACACATCAAGTTTACAACAAAAATGGTTGGGGAAAAAAAACTCAAGATGCTGCAAGGTAGAGTTGCATTCAGGCCTAAAAAATCCGGCCTGGCCCGAGCCCATTGGCATTGTGTCCGAGCCCGATCCGACCCGACTAATTAACTGTAATTAGAGGCCCGAACCCAAAGCAAACCCAACATGTTATTTGAACAAAGCTTTTACTGCTTTTGTAATCAAATCAATTTGACATGATAGTTAAAAAAAAAGTATTTAAAAGAAATGGAAAATATAAGATTTCTTGTTTATAAACAAGTCAACAAATGGATATCTTACATTAACATACAAAACAAATAGCCAAAAAAATCAACTCTAAAGATAGGCTATTATACAGATGAACAAAAATACATTCAGAGCAAAATTATTTGGAAAACTATAGAACAAGGCTATTTTAATTTAGACCTAAAAGAAAGTCGTGCAAAATGAACCCGAGTCACGCTGTCGCTGATGACGGAGCGATTTGACCTCCAAGCAAATCAGGACGGGCGGGGACACATGCACGATGAGTGGTGCAATGCTCTACTCTCTCTTTTCACAGTCTGATTAACTGCTGCACTCTGTTTTCTTTCTTTCCTCATCCTCTCAAAACACAAACTTACTTCCTCCTCTTCTACAAGTAGATTAACACAATTTTATATAGTGCATTCTCATTTAGTTTTCTTTGTGCGGTATGATTCGTAAAACTGCACCACAGAAGCCCGACCCGGTCTCCCCATCAAGCACGTCATTTTGGCCCAAATGTCGGGTATAAATCGCAACTCTAAAGTCCAGACCTCAGCTCAGTTGAAATGTGAAGGTACTTTAACAGAGCTATGCACAAACACCTTCATAACAAGACAAAGTCAGACAGAAAGTGACTGCTTTCAGTCATGGCTGCTAAAGGTGACCCTGATGGGCCCAAACCCTAACATTTAAACAGGGTGGACTTTTTTTTTACCCATTACTGTATTGAAGCGTGACGTTTGCCTACCGTGAGGGCAGCTGAGAAATCATCAAAGAAGGAAGCAAGCAGCTGATCGGGGACAAGTCCCATCACCATGGCCACCTGGTCAGGGGATGTGAGCAGTCCAGGTGTGGCGGCCACATCTGCCAGCTGCGTGGCTGTCAGCTGTGACAGAGCGTCCAGCTGCAGAGCCAAACGCACACATGTTTACCGTGATGCTGATGGTCAAGAGGACGACAAATATTCAGTCAAGAAGGTCAAAGATGATATATAACTGACAGCCGAAAAGTCGGGGTAGAGCCGTTGAACGTCCTGGATGGAGAGGAGGACGGAGAAGCCTCCCAGGTTCCTCTGCAGCCACTCGACACTGCTGTTGATGTTTGACCTGCAGGCAGGATCTGAGCCACAGAAACATAAAATAACATCACTCCTCTGAAGGGAAATACTCCAGGGGCCATGTAAAACAAACAGTTATGCACAGTTGTATCCAAACGTGCATTGTGGCTGTGGTTATGGTGGTTGATCTGTGACTCCGGTGCCTACCTGCAGTGTCGTTCCTGGTCAGGTAAACCCTGATGAAGTGTGTGTAGACTGACATCTGTGTGGCAGGAACCATCTGTGGCCTGACTTCACTCAAAATCTGCAAACTGGGTTTAGAAAGGAGGCGAACGAGCCATGAGAATTACACGAAGCAGGAAAGATCGATCAAAATGATTACAACGGCTAAGTGCCTACATGAGCTGGTAGGTGTTGCAGTCCAGGGCTTTTGAGGCAAGGCATGACAGGAAGTTGGAGGACACAGCAGGCAAGAATGGATGAAGACGGTGGTTAAGCCACAGCTGGATGAAGGAAGGATTATTGAGACTCCCCATGCTGACACCATCCAACCGGATTTCTCGTATGGAGTCCAGAATCATGGACACAGAAGGACTGCTGGGGTCCAGAACCTGAAAAATGTTAATTCACTGTCAACCAAAAATAACACTAAGGATTTGAAGAATTTATCCTGGGAGACATTTCTTATCGTTGGCCTTCTGTAAAGTTTTGTACAACTTAAAATAATTCATACACTGTTGGCCAGAAGCTCCAGAGCTTCGTCCAGCACCAGAGAGGCTTTGGAGAGCAGAAGCTTCCAGGCGGCCGTGGAGCCGCTCGAGCTGGAGGAACGATTACACTTCAGCAGCTCCGCCAGGTCCTGAGCTGTGAGAGCTGAGAGCTGAGGAAACAGGTGAGACGGTGAGCTGAACCTGGAAACATTTGCACCACAGCTGGAGATTACTGATGATCGGAGAT